TCTAAAAAATTTAGTTTACTAAAAAATTTGGTTAAGAGCTGAACGAACTTGCGCTAGTGTTAAATAATTTAGGTCCAAATTTGTCTCATTCGCAAGGCGGCAACATCTAGAAAGAGGCATGTTGTGAGAGTAACCATTGGTATGAAAATTAACATAAAACATGTTGCTTTGTCGTGTGCGATGTTGCGGTATTCTAAAATTAATCTTCTCAAGAAATTCTGGAGAATTAATTTGAGAATTCAAAAGTTTAAAGATAAATATAATATCAATACATTTTCTTCTACTAGCTAAACTTTTTAATTGTAGTCTATTCAAGACCAATTTTTTATATCCTGGTAAGTTTACCGCAATTCCCATTTTAAACGCAATAAACCTGGCAAATTTATTTTGAACACGTTCAATTTTATCAATATAGATATTAAAATAAGGTGACCATACTACTGATTTGAATTCAACTTGTGATCGTACCATTGATGAGTATAGGATCTTGACACACCCCACCCTCGTAAAGTCTCGCGTATTTCTTTTTATGATGCCCAAAAGTTTGTTAGCTTTATTAGTTATGAAGTTAATATGACCAGCAAAGGTTAACTGAGGGTCCAACCAGACACCCAGATCTTTTATTTCTGATACTAAGTTTAGCGGAGTACTGTAGAGTTTATAGTTAAATTCTAAGTTGGATTTAGATCTGTGAAACTTCATTATTTTACATTTGCTTAGATTCAGTTTTAAGTCATTTGTTAGACACCACTCAGTCAGCCTCTGCAGGTCACATTGCAATAACTGACAGTCCCACAAGGATGAAACCCTTTTATAAATTTTTAGATCGTCTGCGAAAAGCAGGTAATTTGAATTCCTTATACATTCACCCATGTCATTAATAAAGCAGTTGAAGAGCAACGGAGCAAGGTGGGCACCTTGTGGTACTCCAGAATGAACCGGGATGGGGTTGGAGATAGCCTTACCCAGTTGTACCACCTGGGTCCTACCCTTCAAGTAGCTCTCAATCCAATCTAACAAGCTTCCTCCGATTCCCAAGGCTTTGAGTTTCTGAATCAGGATGTTATGATTTACAGTGTCGAAAGCTTTGGAGAAGTCTGTATAAATAGCGTCTACCTGATATCTTCCTTCCAAAGCTTCAAACACAAAATCTGTGAATATTATTAAGTTACTGGTTGTGGATTTATCTTTAGTAAATCCATGTTGTTGATTTATTATAACATTCTTAAAAAGAGGTAGCAATTTTTTTGATATGATTGATTACATTATCTTGGGAATCAGAGATAGCTTAGCAATTGGACGATAGTTTACAATTTCGGATCTGGAGCCAGTCTTAAAAATAGTGGTGATGTAACTAGTTTTCCAAATCTTGGGAAAATTTCCAAGTTTTAGAGATAAATTAAACAAGCAGTGTAGAGGTTTAATCAATAAATACTTACATTTCTTTAAGAATATACTAGGAACTTCATCAGGTCCTTCACTGGTGTTTGGTTTTAAATTGTTGAGTTCATTATAGATTTCAGATTCGTCGATTACAATATCATTGATTTCAATTGAATTATTATAACTAATATTTAAGTTGGGAGTGCTACTAGGTTTATATACAGAGCTAAAGTAATCAGCAAAGTAGTTCAGAATTTCTGTTGGGTTATCGGAAATTTCTTCTTTGTATGACATTGTTTTAGGTATTGAAAAATCATTATTTTAAGCTTTAACAAATTTCCAAAATTGTTGAGGATTTTGAGAGATATCATCTTAAATATTCGATATTTAATTATTTGCTTGTCAAGAACCTACACTCATCTCGCAATTTGGAAAACTTTAAGTAGTCGTCGATAGAATTAGTTTGTTTATAAGTTTTGTGACAGATTTTTTCACACTGTCATCCACGACCTCCTAGGGTAGATTTACCAGCCGGCGTAAAAATTCGGATTCAACAAACACAGGTAATGCTGTGCAGTTGCGGGTTACGTAGGAGAACGGAAAGAGGGTAAAAAAAATCCCAGGAAGATCAGTGTAAAGCGATGCCGATGGGGCCTGCCATACGTCCCCATACTCACTCACTTATACTCATTAAGATATTTATTATTAGATAAATCAATTTGATTTCACTATTTTTTTATATTTTTACAAATTTTTATATTTTAAAGAATTGTTTTATTTGTAGTTTTTATTGTTTTAGTATGTTTAAGAATGTAGGATATCCTTTAAATATATAATAATAATAAACGTCTTTATTGAAATAAGGAAATTCACTATTCCAAATGGCGGAATTTGAATTTAAACATTAAAAATGTAACAATTCATTCTTACATTCAACCAAAAACCGACAATGTTGTTTAAATATATGACTAAGTTGTTTAAATATATGACAATTTAAAAAATTAAATATTATTTATACTTTGCAATAAAAACACAAATTATTTCCCATAAATTATCAACTAAATAAAATATGTTATTTCTCTTGGAAACAAAACAACTTTATTATTATTTATTTTGTTTAAAGACGTGGAAGTAATGGTATAATAAATAATACAATCTAAATACTATTGAATTTTCTCTCCTAACAAACACTTTATGACTCATTAAAATGTGCATTAAGTTTAGCTGTAAAACTTTAATGATATTATACTTCGTGGGTAATGCAAGAAAATGTTCGCATTTTAAGAATTTCATCACCATTCTACTTTTTTTGTGGAAAAGTTTAAGAACAATAAAACCGAGACTACGGAGTAATATTTAAATAAAAATACGTTTATCTCACCTTTGTTGCTCATCCTACTGCCATAAATAAAAAAGAAATAAAATGTTGAAAATAAAATAAAACAACCAAATAAAACTAAAACTAATTTATTAAAAATATCTTTTCCAATTGTTCTTAAACTAAAATAAAAATTTTAAAAACTAATTTTTCAAACAACCTTTGTGTTGTTGCTGATGATAACATTTTTAAATTAAAAAACCTATGTTAAATAATATAAATTTCAGTAATTTTTATTTACACGAAAGGTCTTCACGGGCTAACAGAATCACAAGCCTACATACATTTAAAGGATTTATCGTACCTTTATTGTAACAAAATAAAAAATCACGTGTTTATCACATATGTAATTAAAAAATGAATTTTATTCATTTCATACAACATTCAAGTTAACTGTATTTAATATCTATAAGAATTGTGCACAATTTTTGTTACAATTTAAATTCGGTTAATATTAATAAATATGACTGATTATTTAGCGAAAGTATTTAAACATCTTGGTATTATATTTTACATTGTATATATTTTTTGAAGCAATCTATTTCTTTAATAAACTTAGATTTAAAACAGCGAATTTATCACTACTAAATGGGGTTCATTAATAGGCAACATTATAAAAAATATGTACGTTTGAATTGGTTTAACAATGTTGTTATGAGGTTTATAATTTATTTTCTTAAAATTTTAAGCATATTAATGATGTATTTTATGATTTAATATAAAACAAATAGATATAGAAGATAAATGTTGCAACATAAACGTGAAACGAAACATTTTAATTTCTTAATGAGGGATTTACTCAAATAATACATTGATTATAAAACGGGAAAATTAAATTTACATTTAATGTAGGTCACAACAATAAAGTTTAAATATACTATGTGGGACATTCCATGTACAATTAAAAAGCTCAATGTAATAAATTAAAAATAATTTATTTCCCATAAACTTTTGTTTTTAGGCCGTTAAATGCATTATAACAGTATTAGGCCGAAAAGTGTCGCCCACAATACAACTTGGGATTGGTCTATTAGTTCCATCCATTGACCTTTTTTGTTGGTTGGTTGAAAATGATGATTTAAATAGTAAAAATCGACTCAAATTGTACTCAAAAAAAGCCATAAAGCAATAAGAACATTTTTTGCAGATAAAGAAGAAATAATTTTTGGGGATATTTTTACCTTTTTACCAACAGGCTAGATAATTATAAAATTTTGCAGTAACTCTTAAACTTGAAAAAAGATGAAATTCACAGAAAACCAGTTTGAGTATTTTCCATTATTTTAGCGTGTTGAATAAAATCCTGAACTTAATAAATACTTGAAAAGATTAATATGGCTAGTCACCTTGTAGGGGAAATTTAACTGGATATATTTTAAAACTAGTACGTTTACCATATACATATATTTATAGCCCAGTCCAATTAGGCAAAATATCCTATATAAGATTTTTCCTCGGAATCTTGGTTATATCCGCACATAATGCCTCAAAAGTCCGAAACGAAATCGTGTCAAGGGGTCAATGAAAATTCAGAAAATTAAATTTTTTAAACATATCAAATAAATTTAATTATATTTAAATTATACGTGAGGAAGATATTTCTTGCCAAATCTTACCAAGGGGGGAGAGGGGTCCAAATAAATAAAAAAACCCAAAGTAATTAATGGACTCCCGTAAATGGTGTTTATTATAATATGTATATTAAATACATACATATATGGTATATGATTTAATTCTTAAAAGGATTTTTAATTGGGGTAAAAAATTATTTATTTTTCATTTTAAAATAAAAATAAAAAACCGATTCGTTTGCAACAATAAGTTACAGGAGGTTTTAATGTGTATAATACAAAGAATGAAGACAAAAAACTTACATTGTTCAACTTTTTAGTTTAATTTTTACTTGTTTCAGTAAAAAAACAACTGTAGCAATTTTTTTTACAACATATTTTTGTGGATGGCATGAACTTCAAGCGATATTGGCATTTCTTGCCAAGGGGATAATTATTATTATCAGATATCTATTATTTGTTGTATTTTTTAGGTGTTACGATTGAAATTTATTTTCAGTTTTTCTTACATATTTTATCAGTTTTGCCTTTAAATGCTTTAAATTCATGATTAACTTAATTAATAATTTTGCATAGGTGACTATTTTATTAAATAAATGTTGCCTATTTGTTACATTAAAACTTAACCATGACCCCATTTATCATGTGTACCTAAGTGTCCTACCTTATCACGCTCTGCTGCCAGTGCTGATTGGGGTGCTGTTGGCCAGGGGCGGAGAGTTGGAGGGGGGCGAAGTACAGGTACTCAGGTCGGTGGTCAGCAACGTGTTGACTGGATGGTAGAGTGACATGGAGGGCAAGTAGACGGGCTGATAGTGGGCCTCGGCGCTCGGGTACAGACCCAGATACGGGATCGGATGGTAGTTGTAGCGGGCCGCCTCGACCACCTCAAGGGCGGCTAGTGTTCTCTCTTTTATATACAGGAATGCTAAAACAAATAAAAAGTGTATTTTATTTTTTGTTCTTTATTGTTACGTTTGAGACGTCTTTGAGGCACTATAATTGGGTGGCGCTTATTGAAGTAACCAACCGACAAATAGCAACATCAATACAATAGTAGTATATTGTAATGGTTCAGTACTTTAATACGTTTTACAAATTTATTTTTGAATAAGTTTGGAATTTCTAAATTGTGTTTTAAAATGTAAAAATCTTTGCAAAAGAGGTAAAAAAAACCGGCGGTTTAGGTAAAGAAATTACAAAGTTTCGTGGAAGACCGAAATATTGCCTGAAATGGGAAAAAATCTGTTGGCCAGATGAGGCGAAAACAACATCGAAACTGGGAGAGGGAAGCAAAGAAAGGGGGAGAAAGTTTTCCGAAGTGTAAGAGAACGCATCGTATTCGTGAATCTTTGCTAAAACGATAATTATTGTAAAATTCTGTGTAAACAATTTTTACGAGTGTTTGTGTATTCTCCCAGGTTAGTTCTTAATTTTAGTAGCCCAATTATGTGGTAATGTCCACTAAACGTAGAACGATTTTGATGTAAATAAACTGAGCATTAGTATTTTGCACTACTACGTTTAGTGAATTTTACTCGATATTAACACCTTTTGTTTTAGCAATTTTTATAGAATATCTTTACCTTTTAAGTTTACTGCTAAGTGTAAAAATTTATATTCCTTTCTTTTATTGTCTTAGGCTTAATTTAGTTGTATACTACTCAAATGTTTAGACCTTCCCTCAACACGATTATGCATTTTTTGCGGTAATTTCAAAACAAATATCAGTGTAATACAGGACGTTTCGTTGCTTAGAAGGGAGTATTGACCGTTAATTTTAAACTTTGAATGCTCCTATTTCTTTAGTACGTAGTTTGCAGTAGATACTAAAATACTCTCCTCCGTGAGGGATAACTGGTCACCTAGGTTCTCTAGGTGGCATCGCAACTTTTATCCCGAAACCGCATCTTTACGCGAGTTGTTTCCAGTGCGGACCTCGTTCTCCACAGGGCAACGTTAACGTTGACAGACTAACAGTTAACTGCCCTGTTGAACTAACAAAGTTTTTCCTATTTTTTTGAACCCGTAGGGGTAGATAGTGTAACGAGCGTCGTGTCATTCCATTTGATTTACATAAACTTTTAAAGAAACCATGCCTAATCGTGTAATCCTTTGCTACTTCATAGCCGAACAGGGTTTTTTCTCAAGCTCTTTTTCCCTGGTCGTATCTCCCTAAGAGCCACCCCTTGTGTTTTTTTTAACTGTTTGTAAAGTAAATTAAATTGGGGTAAACTAAACACTGTATTTTATTTTTTGTATACCTAAGTTTCCCAAATATGATTCTTAAAGCAATGTATTTAATAAAACGCGTAAGTAAACACAACGTAGATGTCCAAATTTTGGTAAGACGATCACGAGCCATAGTCACAAAATAGTTCATTTATTAATTTTTCATAAAACTTGTTATAACGAACCTGGTGTAAGGAGAAATCTTTACAATATATATACTTATAAGTTAAAAAATGCAAATTTCGTGGTATGGCCCCATACCTTATGGGAACCATTTAACTTCTGAGATGATGAACTTTCTTAATACAAAACTAACCAATTAACTCTAATTACGTTGTAGCTTGCGAGTTGTTTAATTAAATAAGTGTCTAGAAAAGTTTATAAACGATTTTCATACTATACTTTTTACGACAAATACTTATTATTATCTAAAAATGATTTAAATTAAATAATTGTATAGAGCGACATCTATAAAATAATACCAAAACCAACTTGGGAATCTGTATTACCGGCGCGCCGGTGAAAATGTCAAATTTTTATGTGTAAATTGAAATGTATCCATTGAAAATGGACTAAAAATAGTTTTTTACTATGAAAGTGAAGAAAATGTTTTATAGGCAGTTCACGGTGAAGTCTCCACCTAAAATTAAGTTAAATCTAGTTTACTGCCGGCGAAATTAAAAGGTCAGTACAATGTTTATATAAAGTTTTCAAATATTGGCGCTGAGAAACTATTTAAAAATTTTTTATTTTTACATTTAGTATAATATTGACATCATTTTGACATTTGACAACTGTCAACTAACTTAAAATTATCTTCATCCTGTGACTAAAAACCGGTTGCTATCTTCAGCCCGTGACTAAAACGCCATAAAGCCATAACTTGTCCATGTGTATTTAAAATATCACTTAGTGTCAAATAAACACGTACGATAATGGGCATTTTAAAGGTGAGAGTAGAAAAAATTATTTTTAAATCCCCAAATTATAATTAACAGCATTAAACATATTTTTAATATTTTTAAAAAAATTCGTTATTTTTACTTTTTGAGATACAGGGTGCCTAAAATTATAAGCGTATGTAAAGCTTATTTAGATAAATTTGGAAAAGGCAGTATTTTAACATTTTAATTATCACAGTAACTTAAGGTAATATTTTTTAGTTAAATAAAATACTATAATGGTATAAAACGACAGAAAAAAGCATAATCGGACAAATGTTCATATGTTTATTTTTCATATATTTTTTAGTATAAATAATTATTTAGAGTATAGAGTAATAAAATCTTAAAATAATTTCTTTGTATTCAATAATGCATGTTTTTCGTGAAATGGGTTGAATTTAGGTATAAGTTGTGGTCCAGACTGGACTGGACATATCCGACTAACAACAAAGGGATTACTTGAATTGTATTCTAAATTGAAGTTTGCTGGAAACAGGCAGTTATTATGATTTTACGAGTTTGAACGGGCGAAAAGGTAAACCCGGCACGATTTAAAGCTGCGGTCATTTTACGACTCCTAATTTAAAAATCAAGCAACAATGCTGACTCAAGTCGCATAAAATTTACGACCTCACTATAAGATTGCAACTGGATCTAATAAAGGTCACTTGCAACCAAGCCCTTAAATCGGCCCTCTTATCTTATAATGATTTTATCATCTATCGATTCCACATAAAATTTTGGCTAAGCTCCGCTTGTTTTCCAAATTACCTTCTTTATCAATTTAGCTGCACTAATCCTTTGCAGAACAAGCGTTCAACGAATTGCTTGCAAATTGGCCTCTTTTAGATTACTAACAGAAAATTAGTTCTCTTATGTAACGAAATTAAATAAAAAATTTCTGGCAACATAATATGTTGCTGAGAAAAATAATATCCTTTCTTTCCGATGCGCAAGTGAAAGGGAACGAGATTATCGTGAATAATGAGCGTGTGAGTAAGTAGCCGTTGATGATGTACCTGTTAAAAACATGTATGTGGTTTTATTTTGTCCTTTATGCCCAGTTTTAGAATTGGGATTACCTATCGCAATATAATATATTTATTATTAAAAATATTACTTAACCCCTTCATCCAGTTGCTACTGATTGATATGGAAAATATATTATCTCAACTTTGATTATAGCCGTTTTAAAGATCACTCATATATTCCCAACAAGGGTACACAAAACTATATCATAAAATCTTTTTAAATCATTTTTATAATTTTCCAAAAGGCATATACATTTTTGGCTATAAGCAATAAAGCTCCAAAATTACTTTATTTCTGGAACATGCATGATAAAAAATTTGAATAATTTTTTTTTCAGCTTGAGCCTTGGATTTTTTAAATCAATTATCAAAGTTTTGCAGTCAGTACCCTGACATAGGAAACTGTAAAAATTAACAAATCATGAAACCTATTTTTATGTTCTTATTACTTTTTTTTAATAAACAGTTTACCAAAATTGATTAAGATCTGCGGTAAATTTTGACTGTAACTGAGAAAAACGCAAATAAAACATTCTTATCACAAATCCAGATATGTAATCAAGTTCCACTCCATTTATAATTGGTTACTGATAAACAATAGCGAGTTTAAAAATTAAAAGAATTTTTTTTAATTTAAGCGTTAAAAAATACAGTTTATATTTATTGCTACTTAAATATACTTGGTAAAAGGGTGTTTATATTTTTAGGCAGTCAAAGATAAGAGAAATACAGTTAATGCCTTTTTCGTAGGAAACCGACCTCCTACTCAAGGTTCTTTCTTTCACTGTAAATGTTAACTGCACAATGTGTTTTATTTTTATAAAGTTAAAAACTTAAAAAATAGCACTCCAAAAAAACAAATGCAATTTCTTCAAAATCATGAGCACAGTAAGTGGTATGATTTCTTTACGATTCTATCAATAACGTTTTAAAGTAGAGCCTTTGAATGTTTGAACTCATCAGAAAAAATTGCTCTAATCTCAAATTATTTTTTTATTTATTTGAAAATGTCTATACTTTAATTCATTTCATACAGGAATAAAAAATTAAGGTAAGTAACCAAGCTTTTTTTTGGAATTTACTAAGCACAAATAAAAAAAACAATTTCATCAAATCGGAATTAGAAAACCAGAACCAGAAGAATCAAGAGCATCGTTTAAAACAGTTATTACTTAAAGACATTAACGCAAATCTTTAAAAAGTCTTATTTTCAACATTCTCATCTGGATTTATTTTCTGACAACTTGGCGATATTGGTAAGTACACCAAGATTTACAAATAATTGAGAAAAACTACAAAAGGTAAGGAAATGTTGATCTTACGTTTATAATAATAAACTGACACTTTATGTAAATTTGATACAAGTTGTTAAATCATTTAATTATTTAGATTTAGCACAATAAAACTAGAAAGTAAAAACAGTAAAGAAATAGATTTTATTCAACACAAGCAAGGAATATGTAATTTCGTGGCCCTGCTTAAAATGGGCGAACTTATGAATTCCCTAAATGTTAATTTCTTAACTTCAACCCAGAGGATAGTGTCGGATTCTGCAGTTTGCACCGGTATCCGCTCTCGCATTACTTCAGGGCAAAGGCTGTGTAATACACAGTGTGTATCTTTAAACTTATTATAATTATTTCATATATGGCTACTAATTATTTGGTAGGTATTTTTCCAAGACTCCTCCGACTCTAAAAGACTCACCATCATATTAATTG